CTGGATACAATCTTGTATCTAAATAGTTTTTGGTGTGGGAGAAGCTTTTAAAAATACAAGAATACTGGCTGCCATTTGAATATACAAATATTGGTAATTGTAGGTACCATGGTTCCAACAGAAGATAACTTAAAGATAATTTAGATTTGAATTTGCATTTACTTAATGGAAAAATGTACCTGGTTACTCTAAGTCTGTGCCTTATTGAGCTCAAAAAAATTGAAGAAGAGAAAAGAAAAATCTATCTGCTATACTAAATTAGCAGAGTTTCTACTTAATAAATAATCTATTCATAGATAATCAGTAGGCAATTTTATACATTATTTAGCACATCAGGAGATTTGAATATAGACTCAAAAAAAATCTAATATGTGCTCCATTAAAAGGCATAGCTTCAACTACACTGGGACTAAATTAGTATAATTTTTAGGGGGAAAACTTAAGTATTCTATTCACTTCCTTTATGATTGTAAGTCCCTTGAATTTAAAACTCTGATAATTTCATCACAGGGAAAAAACGAACTAGTGAGCATTAAAAGTTATTTAAATATAAACTGAACATCCATATAAATAGAGTTTGGACTTCTGCATTTGTAGCAGATCAATTAGCATTAAGTACAAACAATAAGGTTTGATTTAGCCTCCTAAATACCGTAGGCTATAAAATGTATTATTTGAATATACTGCTAGTTCTGAAGTTTTAAAAGGTTTATTAACATTTTATATTATTCACTGTGAACTAAAGTAGCAGGATCAATTGTTTATATGGAACAAAGTGCTTAAAGTGATTCATGTTCAGAGCGACTGCTTTAAGATAGCACTAAAAAAACACAACACTCTAATATTCTGATGTTAATACTTCCTGAGGAATGTTTCCATAACATCTCAAAGCTTCACCTCATTAGACTTGAACCTCATGCAATGAATCTGGTTTTATTTCCAAGTTATCTTTCCTGTGTGACACAAAACTATTACGTTGGGCACTGTTCCTTCATCTGTTTTTATTTCACACTATTACTTGATTCCAAATTAGGATCATCTACAGTAGAAGCTTCTTGTGAAAATTATATTTTGCTTGTTTTTTTCCCCTGTCCACTTGTTAGCAATGAAGGAAATAAATTATCAACTTTCTGAAGAGCAGATATTAGCCAATAAGTGGCCAAAGCTTAGCCTCAGCAGAAACTGGGTCAGTGAAAGAGTGACCAATGGCAACATATGAATTTGTAACAAGTACTATGTAGTCCTCACTTGAGTTCTGAGAGTTTTTTTCCAATTTTGCAGAGTCTCAGATCACTATCCTTCAAAGCAATCATCTTTCAATTGCCCATCAATTATCTGAAAATAAACTTTCTACTTATTAAGGTCATACAGAATCCAAGGGCTCAGACCTAGACCCAAACCAAACCCAAACAAATCTGGGTTCCAATCCATCAAGTACTAAAATCCATCAATTTACTTAAGAGTTTAGCTTCAGTTTCACAGTCTACAAAATGGGAATAAAATGGTACTTTCCTCATAAGATTATTGTAAAGGTTAAATATGAGATCACATGTAAAGCCCCATGCCTGGCATATAATAGGCAATAAATTTATTTCAGTAAGTGCACATTATCAATGAATTTTTTTTAATTTTACATTAGATATCCCTTGTCACAAATCACAAATCTATTTTTTTTTTTACTACAAATGCCTATGGTATTATGTACTTGGTTTGAAGGATGACAAATATACATTAATTTGAATAGTATAGGCTACCAATACTTTTGCCAAAATAATAGTTGTAAAATACATTGAAAACCAAACTAAAATTGATGTTGAATTATTTCCCTTTTTTATTAGCTAGTTATTGCTCCAGTACCACTGTCACAGTAACTAGTTAATCATATTTTCTATAGACATTTGGGGAAATGTGAACTAGGGGGAGAGGATCCAGATTGCCATTGCAGCCCCAGCTCCATCTTATCAATACTTCACAGGTTTGGAAGGGTGCAGAGTGGCTCAGATGGTAAAGAATCTTGCCTGCAATGCAGGAGACCCAGGTTCTATCCCTGGGTCAGGAAGATCCCTTGGAGAAGGGAATGGCAATCCACTCCAATATTCTTGGAGTTGTGTCTTTTGGGGTGGATGCACAGGACACAAATACAGTTCTCTGGGCTCTGTACCAACACACCTACATGGTGGGCATAAGTGGCAGCTAATGTCATTTGTTGTTATATGCCTATGGCTCATTGGATCAGGGTGGACAATGACTTAAACTGCACCAACCAATAAAAACCACTCCGTTGCGAATTTCTCATTGGAGCTGACAGAGTTAAGTGTCTTTCTTCATCAGTTGAATTAAATAAATGGAGACTCAGACACTGACAGCCTCCCTCATTTACAGAGCAAAGCAAAGGAAGCTTTCCAGAGAGGGAAGGAAAAAAGATGATGTGTAAGGAAGCAAAGATGATGCCGCTTTTTGTTTCTGAGGTGTCCAGGTGTATTTCTTGCCACTAAAGGGGGACCAACAGCATTTCTTGCTTTGGTTTGGTAGAGCATCTCAGAGTCAGAATAACTTTCCCTTTTTGCCTAATTTAAGTATGTTTTTGTTTGGCTTTATTAGACATAAACAATACAACTGTTCTTGTCATTTCCCTTTCTCCACTAATTCACAAGGTTGACTGCTTCTTTAAGGGGTTTTAATTTTTTCAGTCTCAGAGTAAATTATGCTTTGTGCCCACATAAAAAGTGTAATGGTTGTTCTTTCAAAATATATTTGTGTTTGTATATATGTGAGTATATGTGGTATATATGTAAATACATTTGTGTTTGTATATATGTGAGTGTGTGTGGTAGCCACAGTAGGAAAGGGTATAAAAAATAACACAAAATGCATTGAAATTGCTTACATTATTTTGTGGGTTTGGAGAACACATATTATAAGAGAAAATGATATAGGTAACCCACAAATTCACAGACTGTTTTCAATACGACATCACATTTATCTCAGAAGATTCTCACAGTGACCCTGGAAAGGAGGTTTGTAAGGTTAATGGAACATGAGGAAGGCACATGACTAATTCAAGATCACACAACAAGCAATTATTTCATCTTTGGATGTGACTACAGGATATACAAGGCTTAGTATATCTTTCCTTTCTTGTTTTTTCTGTATTTCCCAAAATGTACTCCATATTATACAAGTTCTTTGGGGTATTCTATGGTCCTGGGATATTCCATGGTCCAGTAAATTTGGAAATGCTAAATAACCTCTCATAGAAATTGACATTATACATTCATATTATATGTAGTCCATAAAGAAGTGCACTCAATTCTGTTGACTCCAGTGTTTGATTAACACATTTTCCAAGGAACCATTTTAAAGCATTATTAAACTCATGTTACCAAAAGAAGTATTAATAAATTTAAGTGTTAAAGGCTGATTAAAGATTAGGAAATGTTGGATAGTACATTGCATATTTTTCTGTGTATAGCTCATATTTCTTTCGAATATATCTTCCTATTGTTAAAATACTAAAACATATCAAAGTATAAGTATATAAAAATCAGATAAAATCCCATCAACCTGGGCAAATCACTATCAACATTTTATTGCTAATACTATCATATGTTTCTATCCATGTCTATGTGGTTTTGCATAATTCAGGTACCATCACAGGATGATTCCTCATGACTATCCCCACCTCTTCTGTTTTCCTCTAACTCCACCTGCAGCAATATACACCCCTAAGCAACCAGTGTTTAAAAATCTGATATGCATCCATCCATAATTGGATAGATGAGGAAAGAGACAGAGGAAGAGGGGAAAAGGAGATGGTTTCTTGGCATTGATCATATTATGATAATGGAGTCACAGTATATACATTACATCACATCTTTCTTTTCACATTGCCCAATATAATATGAAAATGCCTCCAAATTAAATAGTATAGAAAAAAATTAAAAATATGGCTCAAATAAATTAATCCAGGAAAAAAATACAGGTTCAGGCATGGCTGGTTACAAGGACTCAATCAACATTTCTTCATCTCCCCCTTCATCTAGAACAATTCTTTCCCTAGACTTTTCCCTTGAGGGAGGCCAAAAAGTAAGCTCTGGTGATCCTAGGGCTCCTTCCCTGCCGACTCACTTTTGTCAGCCAGAGTGTGAACATTTTTATCTCAATATTCCCTACACTTTTTACTCTTTTACTAATTGAGCTGACTTAGGTCAATAGTTGGTCCTTCATCAAATCCCCTGGGTTCGGGCTGTGCAAATCCCTAATAATGCCGTTTAAACAACTGGGCATTCCACTTTCCCCAACCTGAAGGACTGAAACGAAGATAGTGAGTGACTCTCCAGCTAAAACCTAAGAGAGACTGACCCCGGTAAGAAGGTAAATAAACACTGAGTGTCCCAAAATAACCAAGATTTTGTAAACATGCCAAAAGGTAGAAGTTAAAACCTGAAAACACAATATTCCAGTAAATACCAATAAAATATATAGCATAATTACATTTCTTAATCTTGGAGAATTAACCTCAACATGGAATACTGGGATCAAACAAAGCTACTTACCAAATTCTCTCCTGAATATCTGGGTCCGATGTCCTGTGGCTGAAGAGAAGAGTCATGTCAGCTGGTTTAAGGTTGAAATGACTTTATTTGACGTCTACAGAGGAAACAGAACCACATGGCCAGAAGCAGGGCAGGTGTAGCTGATTCTCACATGACAGCTGGAATTTCTCCAAGAGGTGATCTAAGATTTCATAGTCTTCCTGTCTTTTCATATCTCTGCACATCTGCATCATTCTCTTCTCCCAGATCAACTCTTTTCTAGGATTAAGGATGCTGATAAAAATGGAGTTTCTACCCCCCCCCCCTTTTTTTTTCTATCTTGTGAAACTTGCCATTGGAACATTGTATGTTTATTTTCTGATACTTCTCCCCGGAAATGCATTTTGCCAGTGCTTCTGAAATACAAAGACGCCACTCCAGCACCCTTTCTATGTGGTCTTCCATTTAGAACATATTCCTCCATTTCTTCATGTTGCTGGACTCTCCGGGTTGGTTTTTGTGCATGAGATGAAGCAGCCACCTTTCCGGTCTGGAAAGAGAGGTGTCGCGCCAATGGACTTTATCTTGCAGCCCGGCCCTGGCTCGTGGACGTCTCTCAGCTTTTTTGACCGGCCAGCAGCCTATTTTATTTTTCGGGCTCCCAGTGGGTGAGGCTGTGACCAGACTTGTCAGCATCCTGATGGGGGCGGCGGGGGTCTCAGTGGGCACCTGACGGAGGCTGACAGGAAACTCAGCTTCAGGCGGCAGCTGTTCTACAAACGCATAGACACAGTCCTGTGGGGGCGGGAACAGAAGCCGCCAGAACCAGGCGTCTGGAAGTGTCTCCAGGGCAGCAGTGACAAATACCGGGGCTCCGGACAAGTGTGGAAGCTCCTGTGTGGGGCCCCCGGGACACGCGTGCGGGCGGAGGGGGTGCCAAGATGGCAGCGCAGCCTCTTCACGCGGGGAGGCTGGATGTGAGAGCTTCCCCTCAGGCGGCAGCTTCTCACAAACAGGCCTCTTTCTCAGGAAACAAACAAACAAACAAAAAAAGTGGAGCTGTGTTTCGGTCCTCAGCCTGGGCTCTGCCTGCCACAAACCGGGTCTCTGGTGGCTGCAGTCCCGTGAGGCTCCAGAGTCTACACCCTGCCCAGAGCACCATAGCTGAAGAGTGCAGAACACAGCCTCCGGAAGTCTCTGGAAAGGATCACAGTTGCCCTCACCACGTGTCTAATTAGAGGCCGCCTGTCAGGCTGCACTCCGGGGATGAAAATTTAGGCCTTTTTCACAGAGAAGGACTCAGTTCCTGATCTGTCGCCTCCTGCTCTGCCCTGGAGGTGGCGGCTGTTGAAGAACTTTTTCTCGCGGGTGACAAGCCGGTGGGACCCTACTGGGTCACCAGAACAAGGAATGTGCATGGGTACCCTGGTGGCAGCTACGAGAATCTGGACCGGAGAGGCACTGACAGGGGCTGCTGCGGAAGGTTCCGGGCGGGCGCTGAGGAGCCCCGCGTATGGTGGGTGGGGGTGGGGACAGGGGGGGGAGATGACACCGCCCACCGGCCCCCTCTGCAGAGCTGCCCAGCCAGCGGGACCTCGACGTGTGTCACATCAACACCTGCCCCCCAGGTTGACGCTCCGAAACAGCAAAGGATCCTCTTCCCACAAGACCTCTGGGACCCCTCAACCGCAGTTTCCACGGAGACCTGAGGTGGGTAAGTCCGGGCTGTAGCCCTTTGCATGCCTTTCTCAGATCCGCATACCCTTGTATGTCTCCTGGACACCAAACTCCGCGGATTTTCAAAGCTGAATGTTTTAGGGCCTTGTCTCCCAGGTGTAGATCTTGAAAGTTGGGGTGCTCGATGTGAAGTTCAAAGTCGAGTCCTCGGGAAGCTCTGGGTGTCGAGTTTCCTAACTGTGGGTCTTGGCACTGGGATGGCATTAGTGGCCAGCTTCTGCCAGTTTTGCTTCCAAGAAAACTCCTCCATTTTGCCCCATGTGATGCATAGGAGTCGCTCCACTGGCTCTTAGAGGTTTTTTATTGTTGCTGTCTTGTTTGTTTTTCAGGGGAAGTCGTTCCATATGTAGCTGTAGATTTGATGTCCTCTTAGAAGGAGAGGACTTCATGGTTCTCCGGCCTCGCCATCTAGGAGAGGAACCTCATCTCCATGTGATCTTGTGTCACCCCCATGGGCTCATGTAACTCACTGTGTTTCTTATTCCAAAGTCTTGACACAGAATTGGATTGGGGTATCCTGGGTCAGGTATGCTATACCAGGAGGTACATTTGGCTATAGCTGAGGAAACAGTTGGCATATGAGGGAAATCTGAAAGGAGGATGTGGCTGTGGGGGAAATGAGGGGTGCCGCAGGTGGACTAGTATTAGGGATGTGAAAGCCCGCCGTCCTTACACTTCATTTTGAGGCTTTGTGGTTCAATTTACTGGTGCTGACAGCAGACTACCTAAATTTCAAGCCTAGGGCCATCTCCTATTTATGTGACTCGATTTTCTTAATCTCATCTGCAAATTGGAATGATGTTCACTATAACATCATAGAGTTGCTATGAACCATAAAAAAGCTAATAGAGCTAAAACTCTTAGATTCCTGGTTGGAATGCAGAAGGCATTAAATAAATATTTACTCTTATTAAAATAGTACATCCATAAGCTCTGTGGCCAAAGTGACAATTTCAGACAAAGTCTCAGTTGATGCGCTGAATGAAATACACAGTGGGAGCCAGGAAAACAGATCATACACAGCTTCAAGTCTTGATAATCAAGAAAAATGGAGACCAGTGACTAAAACTGACATTGAAGGCAAAGTTTCCTGATTCCTTGTGTATGAGCCCCACATTGAGCTAGCAGCTGTGACTTTTGCACTAGGACTACCAGCTCCAGCCTCCAAAGGATTCATTGTATTCAAAACTCCTCTGCTCAGCTGTTGAAGTTTTTGCTTGATCAACTTTACATGGAGTGAAACTTGCCTCACTGAAAAGTAGTGGGTGGTTGAAGCCCAACATAGCATATCCTCATTAAGGCAGGGAGGCAAGAAAGCCAATTATGGCAACCTGGAGCCCCCATGAAGGGGCTGCCGTCAGGGGCTGCCAGCCACTCTTGCCTCAGGGCAGCAGATAATAACTGCAGAATTGGCACTTGGACGACCAGCTAGGCTCAGCTTCTCCTTCAGAGCGAAGGCACATGAAAGGCAGTACCTTTCAGAATACCAGAAATGTCCTGAAAGCAGCAGGGAGATGGAGTATTTAATAGGTATGTTCTCCTGGTAGGTGGATGTCAAGGAAAATGGTCTTAGGGTGTTGATTAAGAGTTAACAAGACATGGACACAGCGGTGGCACAAGAGGCCCAAGCAACACTCAGGCACAGTTTTACCGCCAAGGTGAGCCGGTGGGTTTTATAGGAATAAACTCCACTAGCTCAGAAGAGGTTCTGTACTCTGAATGCACCACAGTTATGGGATGAAGTCACAAAGAAAGTCAAAAAGAACTTATTAAATTCATAGATAATATCCTTAGTACAGGTAAAAGTTAAAAAGTCAGGCTGCACTTTCACTGACTCCCCCAGAACATTGGTAACAACTTGTAATACTGATGGTATGGTTTGGAAAGGACATTTCATCATATATGTGCTGAGATATAACTTTCCTTTTGAAAATCACCCCACATGGAAGACATCAACTTTATCATGTAAATAAAATGTTGAGCACAGCGCTTGTAAAATAGTAAACATTCAAAATCAGTATTTTTCTCTGTGAAACATGCCCTTTGGAGTAAGAGTTCCTTATATTTTTTAAATTTATATTTATTTGATGACCACATATATAATGTAACTGTGTGCCAGGTAATTTTCTCAGTGCTTTATATATAAAAATTCACTTAATCGTTACAGTACATTTATCAGGTAGGGTCAATTATAAACCCTGCTTTAAAAGTGGAGAAACTAAGCTGTAGAGATGTTGTGTGTGTGTGTGTGTGTGTGTGTGTGTGAGAAAGTTGCTCAGTCGTGTCCGACTCTTTGCGCCCCAATGGACCGTCCATGGAATTCTCTAGGCTAGAATACTGGAATGGGTAGCCTTTCTCTTCTCCAGGGGATCTTCCCAACCCAGGTCTCCCAAATTGCTGTTGGATTCTTTACCAGCTGAGCTATTAGGGTAGAGGTGTTAGGTGGCTAATAAATCGTGAAGCCCGTCAGGATTTGAAGTTAAAAATGCATGCTTCTAGTCACTAATACCATGGTCTCTGTTCTCAAAGAACAGAGAGGAGGTACATTTTACAATTTTATTTGGGCTTGGGAAGTTCCTGACTCATAGGAGGCATCCAGGATATGCTTATTTAACATCAGGAAAAACAAGCAATACAGATTCCTAAGACCCTGGTACATACCTTTACCATATGCCCTGAAACAATTCGTATTCTCACTTAAGAACTTAAAAGAGAAAGGGCTTTGTGAAAGCAGTAGCTTTTTTTTTTGGCCTGTCTGCTCCACCAGTCCAGGTGGAGATTAGAGTGCAAATGTAATCATGAAAATGGGTAGAGTTTTCATTCTCTGTCTCAGTCCTAGAACCAAATTTCAGAAGTTCGACATTGGATCATCTTGTCCAATTCCCAGGCTGCTTTGACTCTCCGTTTGTTTTAGTTCCTGCTCTTGCCATGATGAGATAAAAGATATCTATTAGGATGCTATCTTTCTTGAGCCTTTTGATTCCACCTTCAGGTACAACTAATTTAGGACTCAACATAGATCACTAATGTTTGGCTACACTTCCATCTTTTTCATTTACCTTTTTCAATTTAGGTTGCATTCTCAGTTTCCTCTTTCAACATAGTCAACTGGCCACATCAACTCCAGGTTTTGTATTTCCTTAGCTCTTATAGCACTTTCTCAGAAACTCTAGCCAGTTTTGTTATAATGCATAGATTTGAAATGAGTTATATGCCATCTATAAACAAATCAACTAATAACCACTTTTGTTTGATCCCTTTTGGAATATGGGAATCAAATTAACAGTCGCTTTGGATCAGGAGAATCTGGTACTGATTGATTAGGCTAGGCTAAGTGCTCTACCTTTGGACCAAAGGAACTGATGAGTGACTCTGCAGACAGGGGCTGTGCAGTTCAGGCATGATCTTTGTTCTTGCAGATGCAAACAACTTCCATTGTAGAAACTTAAGAACAATCTAAATGGATATTGGAGAATTATAATATCTAATAGCTCTCACTTTTTTCTTCTCATACGCCCTCCCCATTTCACTGCTTAAGTTTCTCTTTCTAAGAACATTTCCATTTGGCTTTAAACTTGCCATTATTGAAAAATCTAGGTGCCATGGGCACAATCCTCATTCATCAAGTACAGGAACAGAGTGTTGTCATCTTAAAAGAATTATCAGCCAAGGCTTATTCCCTGAACTACTTAGAAGCATCTCTTCTCTCTTTCCAAAACACTAGAATGAATCAATTGCCTACAAACATAAGTACATTTCTTTAGTTATTAGTTTCATAGCTGAGGCTCTTGATGCATTTCCTGTTCTCACAGAAGAAGGAAGGCATGTAAGGGCAATCCTTGGGCTTTTGGGGATGAGTTAAGAAGTCACTTTGGCTCTTTTAAAATATTGGATTGGCAAAAAAGTTCTTTCAGATTTCCCATCTATCTAATTGCTATAAGCAAGTTTGAGTAGGCAAAAATATGTAGTTTGTGAAAATGTGTATGATTTAACGGATAATGATACAACAAACACTTGTTACCCAGCTTTCAGTCCTTTGGAAGGCTCCTGTGTGTTTCTCTTTTATTGCCTCCCTTTCCCTAGAGTACCCATAATTTTCATTATAATTTTACCACACATAGATCTCCATAACAATATACTGATTAACCTAGCAGGTATCAAATCGGCTTAATAAAAGGTTCACAATTATATTTTGCCATGACTTGATTTTTTGCCTGTTGTGTCATTTCTGAGAATGATACGTATTGTATATAGAAGTCACTTTT